TGGACTGGAACTACCGGCGCATCGCGCGCAAGATCGGGTTCACGATCAACCTCCGCCGGGGCGACGACCTCGCGACGTACCCCATCGAGAAGGCCCGGCTGCAACCGCTGATACCCATGACCGCGCTGGGCGTCGCGGCGCTGATTTGCTACGGGTGGGTGCTAAATGCCGAGACGAGCCTGGCGGGACCGCTTGTGCTGCTCTTCGTCATCGGGCTGTGCGTGACAGGGAGTTTCAGCATATTGAGCACGCTGGTGGTGGATCTCTACCCCGAGGCGCCGGCTACTGCCGTGGCGGCGAATAACTTGTTTAGGTGTCTGTTCGGCGCGGGGGGCACGGCGGTGATAGAGACCGTGCTGAAGGCGATGGGGAGGGGGTGGACGTTTACTTTCCTCGCGCTGGTGATGGTGGTTTTCTCGCCGATTTTGTGGGTTAGTATGCGGTACGGTCCCGGGTGGAGGGAGGAGAGGAGGGTGAGGAAGATCAGGGAGGGGGAGGAGAAGGAGGCTCGGAGGAGGGAGAAGGAGGCGAGGCGGGAGGACAGGAGGAGGGTGGAGGAGGAGGAGAGGGAGCGGGAGGAGGCGGAGGCGGTTGAGGATGGGTTAAGGTGAGAGACTGAGAAAGTGAGAGATGCATTGGGAGGCGTTTTAAGGGAAGGAGTTTGGGGGGTTGGAGTTCATATGGCATGGCATTGCATAGTGATACCGGGATCTTAATGATAAGCTCGTTAGTAGTTCACATCAGTAGGTCTTTGGTGACTTACTTCCATTAGCGAGTGATGCCAACGTAATCTGCGGGTACCGGGTTGACTTGGTAGCAATTGACTGCGAAGTTATGCTCTGTGCCGGGCGAGTTGGAGAGAAGAAATCAATGGTCGGATGGAGGTTTGGCGTTGTGTTTGGAGTAGAAGTGTAAGGTAGTTCAGCGTTCTGACTTCGCAAATCGTACAGTTCACCACTTACAACAACAGCCGGTCTTTTCTACTACATTCCGAGATCGCAATGAGCATAACGCCTCGCGAGGCTTGAAGTATACTGTAATAGCTAAGTGATAAGGTAGTACGGTAACGAGTTGATCGTCATGTCGTCGTTTCTCGTTTCTTCGGCTCGTCGTCATACCGGGGGTAAGATGGACCAAAACTGCGACGTTTTTCCCCCTTCTTTTTCGTTCACAGCTTGGGCGGGCAGAGTGGTTTGGCCACCATGAATCGCGTGCCACAGGGCCGTTTCATATTCGAATGTCGTTGGCGGCGTTTGGGAGGGGAGTGGTGTTGGGCCATCGCCCGTCAGTCATCAACGGTTGGTGGTCACATCACCGGCGGACAATAACTTCCAGGAGTTGTCTAATAAAGAGATGAGTTTGCTAATAGGCCTCTATGGTCCATGTCTTACCCCTAAACGCCATGCAAGCTCTATGGGGAATCCGCGAATGACAGCAACCACACCACCAACCAGTCTAACGGTCGAGTTTATCGTCTGCCCGTCTATCACCAAGTCCATGAGCAGGGACGATCAATCCATAGCCGGCTGCAACCGAGCAAAAAAAACGCCATCAGGCCGTATCGTCGTTAAAAAGCCACGCTGCCACCCATGAAGGAACACACCGGGGAAGAACCGTCTAACCGTCGACGCGCTGGATGGTCTCGTTTGCAACATCCCTGCGTCCCTCAGCCATGCACTCCTCCTCCTCGACCTGCGGAGGCGGGACGTTGATGCCGTACTTCCGATACGGGAAATCGACCAGTGTCTCGTAGTACTCCGCCCAGCCATCACCAATCTCGCCCAGCTGGTGAAGGTCGACCTGACCCGCCTCCCCGGTGCGACCGGCCAGGACCACCTCCTCGCGACCGGCATACTCCTTCTTCAGCATGGGGTGGGGACACCAGATCACGCGCATACCCGCGCGACGGCCCGCCTCCACGCCGGGGACGGAGTCCTCGAACACGAGACACTCCTCGGGCGTGATGGGGGTCTCGCCTGGCGGGAGAGTCTGGTTGATGGTCTGCAGGGCGAGGAGGAAGATGTCCGGCAGGGGCTTGCCGCGGCCGGGCTTGAGGCGCTTGTCATCCCCCAAAACGCGGCGCTGGCTGTCAAAGACGGAGAAGAGGTCTGCGAGGTGGGACGTCTTGAGGCGGAAGTTGGCCTCGTGGGAGGAGGTGGCGAGGGCGATGTGCACGCGGTGAGGGGCGTGGTGGCCGTTGGCCGGGGTGGTCTGGCCGTTGGTCGGGTCGACGTTCTCCTTGTCGCCGACGGTGGGCTTCGCGGTCTTCTTCGCGTCCCAGTAGCGGGTGCGGCCCAGGTCGCCGAGCAGCTTGGGGATGCCGGGCAGGGGTTGGGTGCCGGGGAAGTGCTGGGCTTGGAGGGCGTAGTACTGCTTCGTGTACTCGTCTTGGTCGATGGGGAGGTCGGCCCAGTCGTGGAAGAGCTTGTTGGCCACGGGGCCGGGGCGGCCTTGGAGCTTGGCCTTGATGGACCAGGGGAGCTTGGGCTTTTGGTATTTCTCGAGGATGAGGTTGACGCAGAGGGTGTAGAGGTCCTCCGTGTCGAGGAGGAGGCCGTCCATGTCAAAAAGGCAGGCCCGGACGGGCGGGAAGCTGGGAGAGAAAAGAGGTGTCAGTCCAAGTGCCGCTTTGTTTGAAGGAGACGGTAGCTAACATACTCGGTACGGGGAGTCATCTTGATGGTGGGCAAGCAATGCTTCTCCGCTGTTATATGATAGTTGAGTGACTCCAGGTACGGATCGTAATCGAGGTCGCGAGTCGGAGGAATATGGAGGGCGAGAGGAGGATTGGAGTTCAGAGGTAGAGAGGGGACGAGATTTATAAGGTGTAGTTGGAGACTTCTAGGTCAACAAACTTGAAGTGAATCAAGTCCGGCCGCAAGTGAATTGACAGATTAAAAGGTTCGGCCCGAAAGTCGTTGAACCCAGATCTTGACGGAGACGACCCAGGGAATTAAACCATATGTACCTGAGGATAACAGGCTCCAATGGATCTATAAGAAGTGGGATGAGTGAAAGATGGTAGCGAGAGTGAGATGAAGCAACTAAAAGCCAGCTAAAGACAAAAGCTTGCTGGAAATGGGCCGAATAGAAAACGATGCGTCAGAGGGAAGGCACGATGTCGAGATAAATAAAATAAATGGCTGCAGTTTCGCGTCCCTGCATCGAATCGTTCGGGCGCATTATCGAATCGAATTGTCTCTCTCGGCAAGGCGCCCCACCTCGGACAGGACGCAAATCAGCGGGGTAGCTTCGAGATAAGCGATGAAGGGAGCTCCTTCCGTCTCGCCATTCTTTTTTTCACAGCTCCTGCAGGTCGGTGAATCTCTTTCATTGGAACCCGGTTACTTCCTTTCTCGTGTGGCCTGTGCCTGTGCCTGCCTCTCCGTCTTGTACGACGTGTAAGCGACCTGCATTGGAGTTTCAAAGTGGCACTGGCGATTGAGAGCCAGTTAGCGGTGGTGACATGTGAAAGTAGCCTCAAAATTAAAACGGCTGCTTATCTCTCGCCCTGACCCCATTACATCATCTCGCCATCAACTTCTTCCATTGTCATCCTCTGCCATCGCAGCTCGAGTATTACACACAGCACCAACAATGTCCTCCTTATCGCCCAATGGAATCCCTCCGGTAACGAAAGACAAGGGCAAAGATGATGCGGAACCACCTGCAGAGCCAGCTCATGAAATCGTCGAGAAGCTGGCGCCCGAAGAAGAAGCGGTAAGCAAGCAAGCAAGCAGTCGCGTCATCCTTCATGCACCCCTTCGGAACCAACCGGAGCATCAAAGCCAAGCTGACTCTACTGTCAAACAAGGGTCTAATCGACGAGTCAAACACGCTGAAAGCCGAGGCAAACTCGCTCTTCTCGGCCGGGAAGCACAACGCCGCCATCAACAAGTACGACGAGGCCGTCGCCCTGCTGCCTACCTACCTGGACTACGAGCTGGCCGTCCTACGCTCCAACATCTCGGCCTGCCACCTCAAGCTCGACGAGTGGAAGGATGCGATATCCAGTGCCACGGCGGCATTGGACGGGTTGGACCGGTTAGAGAGGGCACAGGCTGAGGAGGAGAAGGCGAGCTCTGAACTCAAGGACAAGGAGGAGGACATTGAGGAGGTGATCGTCAGTGCCGGAGCCGCGAAGGCTGCACCCACCCCGCCGACGGATGAGGATGAGGCTGAAGCTGCTCGGCGGAAGAGGAGGGAGGACATTCTCCGCATACGCGCCAAGGCTTTGATGAGGAGGGCAAGGGCAAGGAGCGAACTGGGCGGGTGGTCGAACCTGGAGGGCGCATTGACGGATTACAAGGCGCTGTCGACCATGACGAACCTGTCGGCAGCGGACAGGAAGATTGTCGATGCACAGCTACGAGTGCTGCCACCGCGAGTGAAGGCGGCTCAGCAGAAGGAGACGGCCGAGATGTGGGCCAAGCTGAAGGATCTTGGCAACGGGATATTGAAGCCCTTCGGCCTGAGCACGGATCACTTCAATATGGTCAAGGACGAGAATACGGGAGGGTACAGCTTGAACCTCGGTGGTGGAGGTGGGGAGAAGAAGTAGGAGGGGATTGTATTCTATCGCCAAACACGAAAGGTTTACCCATCTTACCACCCGTCTGATCTCCCCGAGCGCTGGTCTCGTAGGTATCCGCACGCTCATCACCAAACCCCGTCCGAGCCAGAAAGAGCGGTGACTACAACCGGTCAACTACCAGAAGCTAAGCATGGCAGTCAACATTCCGCTCCGGGACGGACTGGTTCACCGACCGGCACGTCATCGGGATATGAACCCTATCTCCGCGAGTGCGTGTGTACATGCACACCCGATCCTGGTCCCATGCATCCACACATTGATATTCGTACATAGCGGTCGTCCTTGCCAGCAATACAACCGACCCACGTGTCGTGGACCCGACCATATTAATCAACCAAGCAACCTCAACGTCTGTCTCCATCAGCCTCGACGAGCAAAAGAGAGAGAACCCAAAATTGATAAACCGTGGAGGAGCTGGGAGTCGAACACGGTACCTCGTGCAGGTCACACGTTACCACCAATGACTTCGCATCATCGAGATTGGATGCGAAGCACGCGCTCTACCAGATGAGCTACACCCCCTTTACCTTTCGGACGGGGACCGGGATGGTGCTGATGTGGGTGGGCGTGTGTATGCTCCTGAGTCGTGCGCAGAGGGGCTGCCAGGGATTGGTTCCCACCGTTGGTGCTGGACCAGACTCAGGGGGGCTGAGGAGGTGAGGAGGAGAGAAAAACCCGAGGTTAACTTGTTAAATATAGGGAGGTCAAGTCAGATAGACGTCAAGAGCATACAGGTCTCGTCATAGGGAAGGTATCACAGCAAATCCGACACCCCTGGGAACCGATGATCATTAATTAAATTCCTTCAATAAGGCAAGCCGCTTGCAGAGAGCTCTCAAGGGGGGGTATCTCAAAGCCAAAACATGTAAACCGCCGGCGCTCAAACGCGTGCTTGCTTGCTCATGATCCCGTTGCGAGCCGTCATATCCCTCCAGGGCACCCATCCGGGCCCTCCATTCCCTCTCATTGCATGACGTCCCTGCCCGGCCAATTCTTCTACCATCTCGAGATCTCGAGGTGGCTCCCATTACAATTCCTTCTCATGACTATTACACCCCTCGTCATCCTTCCCCTTCCCCGTCCATCATCATGGCCCCCACAACCCCCTTGCAACAGCGGCACTGGGCCCATTAGGCGGCCTATACCACGTCCGATACGGCCCCCCCTCAAGCCTAAAGTCCGCCGTAGCCAGCAACGGGTTGATCGGTCTCGGCGCAACCGGGTTCAAAGCTTGCGCCGCCGCGCCCCCACCTTGCTGCTGTCCCGGCGGGGGGGCGAGCGGCGCCATCGCCAGGCCTGATAACACACCCGTCCCCGTCCCCGTCCCCGTCCCCGTCCCTTGGTTGTTTCCCGCGGCTCCGGGCTCGCGCCATCCCCACGCCTTCTTGAGTTCCGCCAGCACAGACCCGAGCTTCCAGCCCGTGTCCTTGTGGATCCTGTCGAGGATGGAGAGGACCTCCTTCTGCTCGTCCGGGTTGGTGAGGACGGACGACGCGATGGTGAGGGAGCGGATGGCGACGGACGCGACGCCGTGGTCCTGCGTGTGCGCCACGATGCCGCAGACCGAGTGCGCGTGGAGGAGCTGGGCCTCGACGTTCTCCTCGCTGTCGCGCGGCTCGAGCGGGTTGATCTGCGCGAGGAGGCACATGGCCGTGTGGTAGAAGAGGCGGCCGACTACTGCTGCGCGGCGGATGAGCCTGGTGGTTGTTAGTGGGAGGAGCAAGGTGGAGGATAAGGTGGTGGGAAACTGGGATGCTTGCGCGTCGATGGGGGGAGTGGATGGGAGGAAGAGTGGGGAGACTGACCAGATATCAGGGAACAACGACGTCTTCGACGGGCGGTACCCAAACGGCCGCATCGGTCGGGGGCAGTTGTCGTTCCACCTATCGCTCATAGCCTTGAGGCGCGTCCACTCCGCAAACCGGCTCTGCAGCCTCACCTGCTCGTCGTGCGGCGACGGTTCCTTGAAATGGGGGATATTGGCCCTGAAGTTCGCGACCTTGGCCACGATGTAGAACACCAGGTGCACCCACGCCTCCTCCTCCCCGCCGCCGCCGACGACGTACCGCATCTGGCTCTCGGACGGGGTACCGTTCTGGTCTCCAGCGGGCGGGACGGTGAGCAGTCCGACCGGCGTGTTCGACTCGCCCGTGAGGGGACTCACGTCCAAGTCCCACTGGTCCGGATCCCAGGCCGTCTGCCAGTTGAACGCGAGGCAAGAAAGCACCTCCATCCCGATGTTGAGCCAGAAACACGCGCCGCCGATGCCGGTGCTCTTGGCGTTCCAGTTGCACTCGCGCAGCAGCGCTCTTGCTCCCGCGATGTGGCCCATGCGCGCCTGCGGGCTCTGGGACATGATCTCGTAGACGTTGAGCACGGCCGCCGTGGTGGCGCACTCGGCCGGGTTGCGGTCCGGGTTGCGCATCATGTTGAGGAGCTTCGACGAGGCCGTGTCGTAGTAAATCTGCACCTTGGTCACGTCGTGCCGCTTGTTGGTCAGGCTGGCGTGGAGGATGCCGCACGACAGCAGCGCGTTGAGGAGCATGTCGGACTTGAGGGCGAGAAAGGGCACGATGCGGCTGAAGTGCTTCTGGTGGTCGAAGCTGTCCATCCAGATTGCCACTTCACTGACGAAGACTTGCATGTAGTAGATCTCCTCCTCGTCGTTGAGGTAGTCGATTTCGTTGTTTGGCCGCTCGCTCGGTGGCGTGACGATGCCTTCCATTCCGCCGCCTGGTAGTTGGTGGCCGGCCGGCATGGCTTGGTTGTAGGGCTGGAGGGTGTGGCCGTGGCCGGCGCCGATGGGTGCGAGGGAGGAGGTGATGCTGGACAAGTCGCTTGACCGTTGGGAGTGGTTGCCTCTGAAGCCGTCATTCCTTGGTTGGTACCGCTCGTCTAGTGCTGAAAGAGTACAGTTGTTCCCGAAAGTGGTGTTCTGCATCACCTGCGATGGCAGTGCTTGAGGCTGCTGCGCTGCGGGGAGGTACATGTCGTTCTCCCCCCGTGATGACAGTAGGTCATGATGCTGCTGCTGCCCCATCTGCTGTTGCTGTTGCACCATCTGCTGTTGCCCATAAACATCGTCGTAGGTCTGGTGCGTCGGCTGCGCAGGCCTCCTGTTACCGGAGAAGTTGACCGCCCTTGCCAGAGCTTGACGCCCATAATCACCGCCGACGCTGTCGTTGTTGAAGGCGGATATTGTCTCTTGGACGTCCGACCTTTGGTGATGGTGCTGTTGCTGTTGCTGGGGTGTCACGACGACTTCTGGTTGCCGTTGCTCTGTCGGCCAGGCGGTCGGTTCATCATAGGGAGCATACTTCTCCTCTCCGCCCAGATACTCCGACGCGATGGCGCGGGACTCGTCCTTGAAGTTGACTGTACTCGTGTGTCAGTTCTGCAAATCCGTACCTCGGGTAGCTGGATATGAAGACCAAAGTGACTGAATAGAAAAGATTGGCAGACATACCTGCCCAGTCCTGGGTCTTTGGCAGTAGGTACGGCGGTTGCTTGACATCGATCGAGTGATCAAAGCTAAAACGGGTGCCGCGTTCGCAAGAACGGTTGCTCTTGCGGCAGTTGCCACATTCCGGGATGAACTCCTCATCACAGCTGATATGGCGGTCACGACAGGTTAGACAGCCAGTCCTTTTCCTCCTCGCCCTTTCAGTGGGCTTCGGGGCCTTTGCCGCCTTGGGGCGCTTGCCAGCGGCGGAGGTACCTGTCATATCAGGCGCATCCGGGAAATCGGGCAGGGCAGTTCTTGGTTGTTGCAGCCCCCGAGCAGGTCCGCCAAGGCCCGGACCGGAGGTGCGCTGCCGCTTAGCGGCGGGTAGCTCGAACTGGTCCGTCGTGTAATTGGAACTTCCAATGGTGTCCGGCGGTGAAGGCTCCTCATACCGCACGTAGACGGTCCCCGGTATGGTCTCCGGTAGTGGTGCAGGAGGACCGTGCGACTCCAGGCCGGGTTGGTGTTGTTGGGAGTGAGTGACCCGCGGGGGCGCATCCATCGTCCCGGTACCGAAGCGCGGGACGAGGAAGCCGGCTGAGGCCTGATAGCCCGCCACGGCCGCGTCCGCACCGGAGCTCCTCGCGTGAAGCTGTGTTGCGAAGACACAGTGATGAAACTGCTCGTTAAGGCGTCAGATAGCAGTAGCAGAAGCCAACGCCAGATCTCGATTCAGTGAGGGCCCGCCGGGAGCAGCCCGTGCTGTGTGTTCCCTGCCGGCGAAAGTGTGGGGATGAACTTTGAGGGATCCGACACTTTGACGCCTTAGGATCATGGGTCAATGCTGGCCGCGAGAGAGAACACGTTTGGTGAGGATGCGCAACGGCCGTTTGTTCGAAAGATGGAAAGATTTGTCGAGTCTCGAGACACGTCTGGGAAGGCGGGTGGGTAGGACTAGTTGTGGAATGGTCGTGATTTTGATGCCAGGGGCGGTTGGAGGCCAGGGTGGAAAGTGTGCGTGGGCGCAGGACAAGGTTCCCACGTCGAGATCGATAAACTCGAGACTAGGGTGCTGCTAGTTCCCCGGCTCAACAAGCCAAGGCGTCGCGGCTCGTTTCCTGGTCTCGGGATGTGTACGAAGTAGTACCTAGAGCACTGCGTAATGCAGCTCTTCGCAGAGACAATGTGGTGGTCTTGTGCCCCAAGTAAGTTCAGGTGGCGTCGTGTGCGCCACGAATGGGCCAACAGAATTCACGGCACGGCGCGCTAAATGGTATGTAACCGCGTTCTGCACTCGTACCTATGCGCCGTACACCTTTCCGGAAAACGCCAGAGTACAGTTGTTGCGTTTTGTCGAGTCCTTGTGGGAAAATGGTGTACCGAGATTGTCGTTGCTTTGCTGGGGAAGTCTCGTCAGACAAAGGCCGTTGCAAAGGACTAACCCATGCGGTATCACACGGCCCGTTTGCTCTGCCAGCACATGCAATAACCCAACCCGTGGCGAACAATGAGATTGTGCTGTCGCAGTCTCAGGGTGACGCTGTGAATGAGATACGTCGATACGTATCGCCTGTGTGACGAAGCCGATCGATATGCGGGTGTTCAGATGGGTGATGGGTTCGGTGAATTTGACGGACGAAGAACTTTTGATAAACTTTGTTGCCCAGCGTCGTAGTCTAGAACTAGTGTATGCCCCTCTTCGCCGACCTCGTTGAATAGCCCTGTCACTGCCCTGCAACTGGAGAGCTCCAGGTACAGATCGTCGCTGCCAGCTGCACGAGGAGTCAACTTCGCACCTATTCCAGGGCAGGCTCAATGAATACCGTGTAGTGAGATCTGGGTCGTAATTGGCAGGTGTCGTTTGATTAGAGCGTGATCGCGGCTTGAGTTGCTGTTCGTACTGCCACGGGGGCTGGGGGGTTACTGAGTCGCGCTTGTTTAGGGCCTTTGTTAGTCTCGGAACAGGGGCTGAGCCGGTGATTGCCAAGTCGGCTTCACCAAGATTGTCCCGGTTTCAGTGAGTGTCCGTCAGACTCTTGACGTCGTCGTGCTTTTTCAGCGTCATCGACCACTATAA